TTTAGCTGATTTTTATTAGAGAAAAAAATATTGGGAATATTGCCAGTATTATTAGGATATTCTAGACTTCTAGCCAATAGTGCGCCAAATGGATTCAGCATGCAGACTTTGTAGAACCACAGATGATGTCACCATTGTTTCTGCTTACCAAGCATCTCTTCCTAACAATTTCCAAAGTGCAGGGACATTCATGGCTATTAGCATGTCTCAGGAGCTAAGTGAGAAAGGGTCATTCACATATTTCGAGAAGTCATTTCAGACGTATTAGAGACTTGACAGTACATCAGCTCAACTGAGTTACATCCCAGAGGGAGGCAAGAAATGAAGGCTGCCCACTAGCATAGGAAACAGATTAAGTCATTTGACCCAGTTTCAATGAAAGTGTTCCAGAGTGCTTGCCTAGAATGCAGGATGCTATGAGTTGGATCCCCAGCACTTCATAAGCCTAGCACTCAGAAGGTGGAGGCAGAAAAGTCAGGAGGAGTTCAATCATCTTCTTTGGTGACACAACAAATTTGATACAAGAATGAGCTGCATGAGACCTTCATAAAAAAAAAAAAGGTCTGTGCTAAGATATGCAACATTAGGAGTATATGAAAAGAAGTGTAAACATATTTACAGTGTAAGCATGTCAAACATGAATGTGAATAGTGGTGAAGATGAAGCTCAGTAGATCTTCATAGTATTCATTTTCATAGTGCCAAAGCCCAACAGGCTAGTAAACAAAGTGAAGGCAGAGAGAAAGTGAGAGTGTTGACAAAGAGGTGGGCTGGCTCTATGTTCCCATTCACCTTTTCATAAAACAATTCAGGTACAAGTAACTGATCAAACACAGGCCCTGCTGTGGGAAGCTCTGTGCTTCCTGATTCATTCCAGCTTGTTTTCAGGTATGCACATATTGCTCCTTTCCTGATTCATTGCACAAGAGTGCTGTTCTTTAAACTCACCCTTTCCCATCAAGGAAAAACTACGCTATGGGCTTGGTGAACAGATTTAACCTGGGCTGAGAGATGGCTCAGAGGGAAAGAACAGTGCTTATTCTTCCAAAGGTCCTGAGTTCAATTCCCAGCAACCACATGGTGGCTCACAACCATCTATAATGAGATCTGGTGCCTTCTTCTGGTGTTCAGGTGTACATGAAAGCAGAACACTGTTTACATAATAAAATCTTTAAAAAAAAACAACAGATTTAACCTTATGAATCTGAAATGTTCTCAGAGAAGCTTGACTTGAATGTTCTAAATGGCTTCACTAGATGTCCTCACCCCCATCTGTGAGCCTCACTTTCGCAGTGGGTGAAATGGGAATTACTACCCTTAAGTAGGATGCTATGCACATAGTCATAGCTGGAGGCAAGGTTGAACAATGTTAAACCAGAGCTGCCATCCCTAACCACAGGCACCCCATTCTTTGAAACTCTTTGGTGCAGAGTTCAAAGGCATTATATTCTTTATCTTCTTTCCTTCCATCTCAACCTGTGCCCAAAGTTCAGAGCCAGTTAGACATGGTGGTTATCCCTGCAATCCCAGCATTTAAATGACTGAGGCAATAAAATTAGGAGTTTGAGGCAAGCCTAGACTACACATCAACACAAAATGACAAACAAATAACCAGAAAAGTGACTGTTCTGCCTAACATTGATTCTCTTTTATCATATTTTCTAAGATTTATTATTTTATTTGTGTAAGAGAGACTGTGCAACACCAAAGGGTATTGGATCTCCAGAGCTGGAGTTACAATGAGTGGGTAAAGGGAACTGAATCTGGTCTTCTGTAAGGAACTGATGAGCCTTCTTTCCATCCCCTTTTATGTTTATGCTGTTTAAAGACCAGGCTTCTCAACAGTGAAATAAATATTTAATCCAATCCAACTTCACCAGTGCCAAAGGGACCATGATGATTTAAGTCTCCTGGGTTCTGTGCCTCCTTGGACCTGATCTGAGGAGGCTCGAAAATGGGGATGGGGGAGTACTCTCCAGGTATCCTTATAAAAAGTAAAGGAAGACTAGGCAGACATGAGAGTCCAATTGATGGTGGAGGCAGAAGCTCAAGTAACATGGATATAGGCTGAGTTGCCAGAAGCCACCAGAAGTGGAGAGGTGAAGGACAGTGTGCCAGTATTCTCCATGGGAGCAGGATCCTGCAGACACCAGAGTCCAGCATAGTTGCACTAACTTTAGACACTTGTCTCTTGATCTGTGACTGACTTGTATGAAGCTTCTAAGGTTGGGGTACTTTATCACAGCAGTCATAATATGACCAACCACCTCTACCCTCTACCCTCTACCAGCCCAATTTTTTAAAGGAACGACCACCAAAACTACAAGTTGAACAAGCTTGGACGTCCAGGTATATGTTCAAAATAAGTGATATTTATTTTGGAGAGAGTATTTATTTTACACTGGAGAGAGTACATAGGCACAAATTGATGAGACATGCATTTAAAACAATGCATTTAGCTAAAAATGGAATCCACTGGGAGAAGAGGGTCTAGAAATCAGTCAAATAGTGAGACTGGCCAGACTTAGGACTAGAGCCCAGGAAGAGCAGCGTTAGGGCCAGTGAGGACAGACCTGAGGGATATCTGAGAAGTAACCTGATAGAACCTACTTACAGTTGAAGGCAGAAGTTGAGAAGTAATCACAAGTTTCTAATTTGTGTAGTAGAGCAGGCAGCAGTCCCATTAAATAGGACAGGACATAAAGTATTGGTTTAAGGGTAGATGGAGCAGACAAATTAATCTCTGAGTCCATGGCTGGGAATTATCCAGGTGGTAACTTCTAATGAGGTGGTTAAATAATGTGTGTGTAAACATGTACATGGAGTCAGAGCCAGACATCTTGTTTAGGATTCATCAGCGTATGCTTATCAAAGTGGTAGAATCATGATGGACTTCTACCTCAGTCCACAGGCAGGCATGAAGCCTATAAGGGACAAATCCAATGGCATATACAGCTAGCAACAGACAAACCCTACAAAGGGTACTAATGAGCAGAGGTGTAGTATCAACCTTAGAACACAGTTGAAGTGATAGCAGGGGTGCAGAAGCGGCAGAATCCCAGAGCAATTACAGGTGACAGGACAGGGTAGAAGGTACAGGTTAGCTACAGTGGAGGCACCAACACACCTGAAGCCTAGAGGTAAGCTAAGAAGAGAGACCAACAAGGCTTATCTGCACAGATGTGGGTCAAGCTAACAGTTTATTGCAAAATGAAGTTCAAGTCTCCCCTAAAAGCAATGGAGAACCTAGTGCTAATGCTGGAGCAAAGCAGCATTTTGAAAGACTTGTCTAGTTGCAACACCAGGGTGGAAGAAAACCTAGAAGCTGGGAGAGCAGTTAGAAAGTTTTGTGTGCGCGCTTAAAGTGACTGCATTGTCAGAGCATCTTCCGTGGCATGGATGAGGTGGCTCGGAGTAACAGGATAGGCAAGACCACAGTCCTCAGAAACCCAAAGTGTGGGGATCGGCAGGGGGCAGAGGAAATAACCCAGCAGGCCAAGAAGGTGCAAGCCACGGGCAGGAAACCCAGGGCAAAGTGGCATAGTGCTGCCATTAAATCTGAAGGAACTGATAAAATATCACAAGCCAGAGGTCACCTCAAAGATCCAAAGGTTTCTGTTGTATTTGGCAGTTAGGTCAGATTCAGAGAACTGGCTTGAACCTTGGTTGAACATGAAGACATCCAGTGTACAGGCAACAGGCACTGGAGACACAGAAAATGAGCAGCAGATGGCTGGGAAAAAAGGTTGGAGGGAGGCTGCTTTACACTCCATGTGGTTAAAAACAAACAAGCAAACAAACGAATCTGGCTTCTATCTGGGCCTCAAGCTTTGCAACTCCACACTGATTTTCTGGCAGGTAAAAAGAGAAGCAATGGTGCATGCTCACGCAGCCTGGTCGCAGGTGGTCCTTTGAAAGCCCCCTTTACAAGACCATTTCTTACTTTAACTGCACATAATCCAAAAACAAAGACATTAAAAAAACAAAAATAAAGGCTCTTAAATGACTGTAGAAGAGAACTTTAAGTGTGAAATTCCAAAGGCTATAGTCTTGAAATTAAAGAAACTAAATATTGAGAGCTATTCAGTGGATATTTTTTCCCCACTTGACTCAACCTGAGATTCCTTCTCTCACATATCCCTCACACACTTCATAAAACTAATTTACCTTGGTTCATATAGCTAAAACCCACCTTCAGAAGCAGATCTGAAAATCACACACTTCTTGAAACTCACAACACCTAATTTAAGACCCAGGCATTTTTAGGGTCTGTTATAGAAATTCCACTTGAGAGTGTCTGCTGCTATGTTCCAGGCTCTAGAAAACTATCTTACTGTTCGGTGGCCTTAAGACTACTCTTCACAGCTGGGGTTTGAAGTTTGGCATGTTGTCTGGTTGAGTACATGGAACTGTAATTTTCATGCAAAGAAGCTAAAACAGAGTTGGTGTTGCAGGAAAAGGGTTGCTGGGCTGTTGTTTTGTTTTGAAATGTGCCAGGGTCGCCCTCTGTACTTCAGAATAGCCAGCAGGAATTCTGCCTCAGCCTCCAGGGTGCTGGGAGTACGTGCATGCAACACCCTGTCCAGCTTCAATCCCATTTTAAAAGGGAGAGGTTTGGATCTGTTTGCCGGCAGATGCCACAAGGCGAATGAGAACCGCCGATCTGAAGGGAGGCGAGCCTGGGAGCCCATCTTGTCCACTGCGGCTCTCTCCTGGAGGAAGAAATGGAAACCAGTCACTTTCCCACAGCTCCACGTTCAGGGGCTTCCCACGACGACACACACGGAACCTCGGGGCGTTCTTGCGGTCCCCCGCTTGTGACTGCGCCTCCCCATAGAGGTACCCACGCGGGCACACAACGCGGCCGCGCTCCCGCAGACCCGCCCCTGGCCCGCCCACAGTCGGCCGGCACCCAATCCCAACGCCGCACACGTGACGAGCGCTGCCTGCGATGACCTCATCCCTGGTGTGGGATGACGTCAAATTCAAGATGGATGGAATCACAGCGGCAGCGGCGGCTGCGGGTTGCGCGAGCCGAGTGTGAGCGGAAAGGGGCCCGGCGCCTGCCCCGGGGCTGAAGAGCGGTGAGTAACCGTCACGCTCCACGCCCTAGGAGGACGTCGGGCCCTGTCGGGGGTTACGGCCTCTCCGCAAAACGCGGCCTTTCCTGACGTAACTCTGAGGTGATTTCTCTCCTTTTTTCCTCCACCAGTGGGTTGCGGGCACCGGCCCTTTTGCGCGTGCGCGAGGCTGCGGTCCTCACCGAGCATGCCCAGACTCCCACGTAGTCGAGCGTGCCTTTGCACTGCGCATGCTCTGTGCCTGCGCTGGCCTCGCCCTCGCTCCTACGCATGCTCAGCCTCCTGGCCAGCTGAGCTACCTATTCTGGCGGGGTGGCCTGGGTAGCTTCGGTGTGGGGTCCGGGGTCACACCACAGCAGAGCCGTCGATACGCCTCTACGGGCAAGGGCGCGCTCTCCGGGCTGGGCGGTGCGCGTGCGAGACCGGGGAGCGGGCGGTGGCGGCAGCCCGCACCTGCCGCAGCTGGAGCGTGACAGCCTGGCAACCAGCACTTCCATGGTCACCTCCTGAGCCCATGAAAAACCTGTCGTATCCTCCGCCCCGTGCCAGGGGCTTTTCTCAGGAGAAAGACCCTCCGGGGACATAGCGTGGAAGACCTCCCTGCCGCTCACACGTTGGCCGGTCTCCCCACCTCCCAAGTTTGGATATTTGGAGCACCTTTGAGTGCCCTTCTGCAGAGACTGCATCTTGTAGTCAAAGGACGATGCACGTGTGTGTCTCTGAGGCCCTGGGTTCTGAAGAACCGCACAGTGCAGCAAGTATGCAGGGAGCCTTAGGTACTCCCTAAAGTTACCACAGTGTTGGGGGACAATGAGCAGCCCTCCAAAGCCTGGAATTTTTATGTGGTGCATAAGTTCCAATTGCTTCTACGTCCTCGGACATCTGGGTTACAGCGTAGTGCAGTGATTGTTTATCAGGATGACCCTGAGTCGTAAGTTCCTGGGTTTGTTTCATGGCCCTCCCACCTTGTTTGAGAGGGCGAAAGTAGGTTAATCCATGGAAAGCCCTCCTCCACGTCTGGTGATTAATCATTACCCTTAACCTTACCCCTAAATATTGACATTAAGTAGAAAGTAAAGTAGTCACTTAGAAGTGACTTTAATCTGTCTCTTTAATTCGGTTAGCATATACTTACTTAACACTGTATTTAACAGCACAGTGTTCCTACTATTTATTGGGAAGACTAGGGAGCATCATTCTTAGGAAATATAAATTGTCAGTAGAGGCTCTCCCTCAAGGTATTAACAGTATTATATAGTAGGGAATATTAGGTTTGGGAACTAGAAAAGTAACAACATAGTAAAGGTCTCCAAGCAAGGAGATAACTGAGAGGCCATTTTAGTTGTCCCAGCACTAGAGCTGATTGAGGGCTGTATTTATGGGTATTAAAGATTGGCCAAAGGAAAGAGTATACTTTTCTGCCAGAGAGCTGGCTAGCATCACCCCATCCTAAGACAATGGTCTTCAAGCAGGTGTGAGAATGTAGGTTACAAGTGCCATGTAGGACAAGTGGGTTCACTGAGATGAATCTGTTCAGAAAGCAGCCAAGAGCTAGTGTTTGAAGAAGTCTGAGCAGAGATACAGATGGAGTCAGTCCAATTGTTAGTGCAGCCACAAGAGCTCAGGAAAAGCTGAGAAAATTACTCCATGTTGTGCTCTACAGACTCTGATAGATAAATATGAACACATTCAATACTCAAGTCTAGCGAGCTTTTTCTGCATGGTGGACACCTGTGAAAACAAGGGCTTTTGTGGAGAGCATGTGGAATCTTCTGAGGAATCCACATACAAAAGCTGATGCATTGAAATCACAATGGTGTTATTGCAGAGGGATGAAGTGTTGCTGTTGGCAAATTACAAAAGCTTTGTAGTTCCATCTAAATCTTCTTGCACAAAGTAGCCGAGTAAAGGAGAGATAGAAGATATTTTTAAGTTTCAGAAACTGGAAGTGCAGATTTGTGTGTTAGCTGGTAAGGAGTGGGTTTGTTGCTGTGAAGAGACACCATGACCAAGGCAACTCTTAGAAAAGAAAATATTTCATTGGGCTGGCTTACAGTTTCGGAGGTTTACAGTTGTCATCATGGTGGGAAGCATGGCAGTGTCCAAGCAGACATGGTGCTGGAAAAGGAGCTCAGAGTTCTACATCTTGATCTGAAGACAGCAGAGGGGGACTGTGTCCACATTGAGTGTAACTTGAGCATAGGAGACCTCAAATCCAGCCCCTAAGGTGACACACTTCCTCCAACAAGGCCACACCTCCTGATAGTGCCACTACCTATGGGCCGAGCATTTACACACAATAGTCTATGGGGACCATACCTTTTCAAACCACTACGGCCACCCAAGTTTGGTACAGAGGTGAGTCTTGTTTGCTAGTTTGTAGTTTGGGTTTTTCTAGGAAATAATAATTTAAGAAAAAAACAAAAAACTGTAGTCTAAAACAGGGCAGTAAAGTGGCCAACTTTATTTAGAGAATAATCAAAGAGCTTCATTTCTACTCCTTAACTTAACTGGAGTAGAGAGTAGAAAATTATCACACATTTACTATGTAGGATTCCAAATTGGGTATCATAAGAAAGGCCAAAAGACCTTAAAGAGCTTGCAGTCCTGGTGGGACACACAGCCAGTTAGCATATAACAGTGAATAAACCCAGTGTAGTAATGTGCCTGTTCTATGTGGCAAAGGAGTTGGCAGGAGGCATTTGCTTTTTGCCTTTTTGGTAAGGGCTTGCAGCCCACATTGGACTTGAACTCATAAATCCTCCTGCCTTAGCCTCCCAAGTACTACCATTGTAGATACATGCCACACACTGAATTTTGTTTACCTATTCTAAACTTAAGTTTAGAATTAAGTCCTTAAAATTAAGGACTGTGTTTTAGTTGGCCTGCTTTAATTTAGTATACAGACCTAGTGACCTAAACAATACAAGCTTACTTTCTCACAGTTACAGAAGCTGGAAATTAGAGATAAAGGTGGCATTGGCAGGCCAGGCTTCTCCTGAGGCCTTGCCCCTTCATCTGTGTCCTCTTGGGATCTTCCCTCCATGTTTTTCTCTGTTGTAATTCTTTGTTCAAAAACATCAGTTTTATTAGATTAAGACACATTTTAACTTAATTAGCTGTATAAGACCTCAGCTCCAAATATGATTGCCTTTTAAGGTGTAGAGGTTAGGACTTCAACAAACAAACGAGGGATGTTGGCTGGGAATGTTCAGCCCTAAAGAGTTCCCAAAGGGTTAGAACTTGAGGTGAGTTGGAAAAGGGGTTTGATGAAATCAAATGGTTTTTAGGATGGTTCAGGTTGACTGGTGGAGGAGGTCAGATGGATAGCTTGTATCTCAGGAACAAAAACAGGAAAAAGCCACAGTAGGTAACTAAAGAATTTTAAGTAGTTTAAATACTGTTGTCTATAGAGGCTTGATGAAGGCTTTTTTAACTTTAATTTTAATTTTAGCCTATTATGTTTTAACTAGGACATATGGGACTGTAACTTTATTCAGTATTACAACAAGATGGTTCCTGAGCTCCCTCTGCACCCCTGGGGACTACACCAGCCATCACACTTTTCTCTCCATCAGTACATTTAGCACATTGAAATTGAGTTTGGGGATTTCTTTTTCTCTAGACAGTAGGGCTTTGTCTGTCTTGAGTACCCCTGTGTAAAGAATGTAATTAACATTCCTTAGATACATCCCTCCATTTACATGCCTTGTACATGGAGAGGGCCAGTGAGCAAGTGCATTCATGGAAGAGATTGTGTGCTGGGTTACTAACAAAAGCCTTGCGTGAAGAATCTAGCACGTGAAGGACAAGCTTGAAAGACAGGGCAGGAGCAAGTGGCATGTAGAAGTATGCCACAATAGAAACTGACTGGTTGAGAGGGGATTTATTATAAATAAATAAACACACACACACACACACACACACACACACACACACACACACACACACAATTACTCTTGAAGTTTGAGGGAAAGCTTAAAAAATCAACAACAAACTTAGGCCAGAAAGGACAAATCCAAACCACTTGTTAAGAATGTATGAGTCAGGTACTAGAGCATTGCAATTTCAGACCATACTGAGATCAGTCATTTGGCTCTACTCAGAGCCAGCTTCCTGTCACCATGTAGTAAAAGCAAGTGGAGAGTGTGAGGGCTAAATACAGAATTACGGGCCTGGGGATGAGCTGTGTGTGTGTAGTCAAATGTTGGACACTCACCTTGTATCACACACATCCCTCAAGTTCCAGGATCGTATCAGGCTTATGTAATAAGCACTCTCCAACATTGCAGAGGGGCGGTGTTCCCAGAGCTCAGCCTTAGGTTAGTAAAGGGAGATTTCCCACAGACTTGTTAGTGTGCATTTTTGAACTAGTCCCAGAGCATAGTCTTTTGTAATGATCTTTAGCTATGACACCAGTCTCTTAGATTGAAATATGGGAGATCGTTTTGAATTTTCTCTCATCTTCTCAGCTTTCCTTTATAGTATCTTGTTGAGTTTCTGAGTGTGTACCTCCCTTTCTTATGTGTCTGTCTCCAGAATATTCTTATTCCAAAATTTCCTACTTACCTTAAACTGGAAATCCTCATTCTGAGTAGCATAAGAATGGAAATACTTGGGTTGAATTAATTTATATTAAGATACAGATGTCTCACCTCAGCATCCAGTATATCATAGTGTTTGTATGATGACATGAAATAATTTAACTGAGTTCAGCTATGAGGGGCTTTAGGGTCCTTCCAGGAAGTTGAATTGAAGCCAGGGCATCAAAAGATTTTAAACCTGGGCCAATCAGATAACATTCCTGGAATTTCTGAGCCTTTGGCTTTAACTTCAGTATCAAGTGAGTCCCAAGCCCTACCTGATTCCCACCAGTCACTTATTCATCCACCCTCCCATCACCTGGCCACATTGATAGCCTCCTGACATTAGTGTTCTTCCACACTCTATGCCTTCTTTATCACATTGTTGTCTGCCTGGTCACAGGAATGTGAGGTGAAGGAGAACAGGAAGCCAGCCAACGAGCTCACCTCCCATCACCAGTACCTCTTATGATGCACTGTGTACAGCAGGCTCACAAACACTCGGGAGAGGAAGAGAGAAGAAAGATGTGTACTTGCCAGGTGGGATTTTCTTTGTAGACTGGGCTTTTTTCAAGTTGCTTTGTTTATGCCTCATGGGATTTCCACATGGTATAGGTAGGGCTAACACTGAACAGGCAAGGACATTACTGCTCAGAAAGGATGAGTAATCCTGATAAGATTACCATTCATGATAGGTAGCACTAGACTATATAGCTGTCTACCGTGAACTTTTAGAACTACTAGAACAGTTTTCTCCATTCTCCCCCTTTTGAATCTTTAGGAAACAACATTAGGTAAAACCATATCAGGCAGAGTTTGGAAAGATATTTATAGGGAGATCCAAGTAATGAGGAAGTCAGCCTGTTTCAGAATCTGTTTTTTTAGGGGACATTGTCTCAGCTACTCCTGCTCTTAATAGGCCTTTTCTTCCACAGTTCAGTTGCTGAGCACCTTCCAGGCCTTTCTGGTTAAGTGATGGGATTTCTGCATAATGAGTTAGGTGGAGATGATCAGGCCAGGGACAGTAAGGGCTGTGTGTTTTGTACATGAGATTTGTAGCTGCTGTTGAGTTGTAGTTAAATCATACAGGAAAATGAGTGTGCTATAGTTTAACATTCATTGGGAAAGTGCTCAGCAGCACAACTGCTCTTCTGAGGGTTGAGCAGCTGAGATGTCAACAGGTCAGGTCTGGAGGATTCATCTGTACTTCCCCAGTCATAGTGTGCTGGATTGCAGTTCTGCTTTTCCCTTGTTTGCTTTCTCAAGGCAGTGTTTATGCTTTAGTTGAAAAACTCAATAAGCGGTTACACCTGCTATAATCAAGATGCAAGAATTCAAATAGTCCTTGTTTTCAGGTAGACCAGGACTGGGGCCATTGCTTCCAAGTCCTCATAATTGAATTAAAGTGTGAAGGCAACCCATAAATGAAGGTGAATCCATACCACCTTGCCATCTCTTCAGTCTCTAGAGACTGTAGGAACAGGTGTCACTCTTCTGCTTATGATCTCCAGTGTCTTCATTTTGGTTCCCAGACCCCTTTCATGTTCTCAGGGTCATGACAGTTCCCAGGATGACTCTTGTTCTCTCTTGTTTGTGGTGCTTCATATACTGCCCCTGTCCCTTGCAGGTCCCCTCACCTTTCCCCCCTGTCTCTTTCCCATGCTTTGGTTCCTCATCTGGCTATCTTTTACCTGGGTCTGGTGGCTGTCACCTGGACTGCATCTCCTATGAACAACATAGACAGTTTTCTGTTCCTACATATTGTATATTGTCAATAGATTGATGTGTGCTATTCCTATGCAAGACTAAACTCCAGGAGCGAGGCTGTGCTTGTCTTTTTAACGTCCTCTGTGGTTAGTAGAGTTTTAGCACATTCTGGGTGGATCCTAGCTTCCATTTCTGGTTTCAGATTGTCTTGCTGTTTTGATTTTTCTCTCAAAAGTAGAGCCTGATACAAAGGTCTAGATATAGGTGTTTGGGCAGAGATTCCAGGGAACTCAGAAAAGGAAATAGATGTGCATAAAGGTAAGGCTGATAAGTTGTCACTCAACTGTAGAGTGTTAGAACTGAATCCCCTAGAAAAGGAGAGGCAGGGAGGGAAGCAGCCTGATGTCTCTGCCAAATCCATCCTTTTCTCCTCCCTATCCTGGCAGGATCCTTGGAGACATCCTTGACTCTTCCCATTGCTCTGTAGTTACTCCATTAGAAAACTTAATGGCTCTGCCTTTATATCTAATGCCAGCCCTGACAGACTGTCATGGCAGTAGACTCCTCCTATGTCCTTTGCTTTGTTGTGTGCTGTCCACAATGAAGCCAGAACTATTATAATTAAGATATAACTCAGGCTTCTTGCCTATGGTCCTCCAATGGCTACCCATTTCCTACATAGTAAAATCCCCTCACAGCTACCCAGCCTTACAGTCTGACTCCTGAGATGGTCTTGTCCATATTTCCAGGCTCGCTAGGCTCTAGTTGTTTATCAGCTTAGTTCTTACCTCTGTTGTGTTGTATTTTCTTCATAATCTCCAGGCTCATGCCCTACTTTCTTGAGTCTTCTCAAACGTGCTTCCATGACTGATTGGTTGGTAGGTAGGTACTGTTTTTGGTGCTGAGTGAGTGATGAAATAATCATCTCATTTGCCCCTCAGCAGCATTGTATGGAAGCAGTTACTGTCTCTGCTGTATAGGGGAAAAACTGGGGCTCAGAGTGACGAACTAGCCAAGAACACATGTAACTCTGACCTCCCAGTGGGGGGGGGGGGAGTGCTTTTACAACTCAACTGGATGTATGCTTACACACAGGGATATGTCTGTCTATAACTGAAACAGGTTTTCCAAGCCCTTGCCACATTTAGTATTTTCTGACATTTTTTTCTATTAGTGCTTTATCTGTTTTTTAATTGCTGGTTTCAAGCCATTAAATTGAGTTAAAAAAAAACAAACCTGACAAATATCTGCCCAACCTTTACTTTTGGTCTGCTGTTTCCCCTGTGTCAACACCTTCAGAAATTCTCAGTGCTACAGACCACCAGTGCATGGCTGAGTCAGTCTTGTGGCAGTCTAAACTCAGTGCTTTTCTGCTGACCCCTGTAAAAGATGAGATGTGTCCTTACATAAATGTATGGTTCTTACAGTGAGCTAGGAGTGAGTGAGAAATGGAAATAGCTGGCAGAAAGCAAAGGATCTCGTCCAAGTATTTGTTACAATAAAGAGCTACATGTCACTATTAAAGAAAGGCAGGCAGGAGTGAAGGGAAACCTGGTGGGTGCTAGCTTCATTTCTAGTGGCAGAGCTGAAACACCAATAACAGCCACACTCCTGTCTACATCTTGCACTCTGTTCTCTCTGAAAACCAAAGAGCTTAATCTCCAAGCGACTAGTAAAGGCTGACCCTGAGAGCCAGGAGTTGTGGACTTGTGACTTTGGAGGACCATGGACAAGAAGTCTTCAGTTACCGCTGCAGCTGGGTATGGTTCTCAGCAGCATTCGGTCTTTAGAATAAGTTTGTCAAAGATGTATCTAGTCACTGTGGATACATTCCAGTAGTAAAAATCAGTATCTGACTCTTTCTGTCTCTGTCTTTGTCTCTTTCTTTCTCTCTCTCTCTCTCTCTCTCTCTCTCTCTCACACACACACACACGCACGCACGCACGCACGCACGCAAGCGCTGGCTCGCTCTCGTAAGTACTCTCTGTGGTGCTGGTAATGTGATCCAGGGTCTTCATGTACAAAGCAGGTGCTCTACCACTAAGCTACATTCCCAGCTTCCTGACAATACCTGTTTTGTTCTAGAGCACCAGGGAGGGGGTGGTAATATGGACCTTCTCCTTTGATACTAAATTAAACCTATTCTGGTAGTCCTGACAGCTGCACATTTGTTGAGTGTTTACTGTAGATGCTTGTTCATTAATCTTTGCCACACCCTTGCAAGAGGGCACAGTTGTTACCCTGCTTCACACACAGACCTGTGTACAGAATGTATCAGCTCACAGGGTGCAGCTTGCACCTCAGCCTAGCATTTGATCCCAAAGCTCACACCCACCAAGTTGCCTTCTCTCATCTTTAGGTTTGAACAGAATTTCAGTGACCTTTCAGTTCAAACCCCTTAACCAGCTTTACAGCCAGGCTAAAATTTTTGACAATTCATAATTATTCCCTGAATAAATTAAGTGTAACCAAGCATTAGATGGGTAAGGACCCTAATACTCAACCTCATTTTCAAGTGTCATCTCTGTGTATACCTATTAAGTTTGAGCAGGCCTTTGGTAGAATACAAGGTGGTGATAGTCTCATTTTCTGTCTTCCAGATAAACTGCAGGATGGAGGGACTGCTGCATTACATCAACCCAGCACATGCCATCTCTCTGCTCAGTGCCCTCAATGAGGAGCGCCTCAAGGGACAGCTGTGTGATGTGCTTCTGATTGTTGGGGACCAGAAGTTCCGTGCTCATAAGAACGTCTTGGCTGCCAGCAGTGAGTACTTCCAGAGTTTATTCACGAATAAGGAGAACGAGGCACAGACTGTCTTTCAGCTGGACTTCTGTGAGCCTGATGCTTTTGACAACGTTCTGAACTACATTTACTCTTCTTCCCTTTTTGTGGAGAAGGGCAGCCTGGCTGCTGTGCAAGAGCTGGGGTATAGCCTTGGTATCTCCTTCCTGACCAACATTGTTGCCAAAGCCCCTCAGGCTCCTTTTCCAGCCTGTCCCAACAGGAAAAGAGTACCGGTGGAAGATGATGAGACCAGCTCTCAAAAGCGAAGTGTCATTGTATGTCAGGGCAGAAGCGAAGTGCCAGGGAAAGCCAGTGGTCCAGCTGTGCAGGATCTCAGCCATGCTGCCCGGGCCTCCCCTAGTGGTTCAGTCAAGACCAGCACCAGTAAGCCACATGTAGCCAAGCCACCAGAACAGTTTCACAGTCTGTCCTTAACTGAAAAGAGCTGGCCGAAGGATAGTGCTGCAGTATATGCAAAGTCTCTGGAACAGTCTGGGGCTTTGGATGATCCTAACAGGGGCAGTTTGGTAAAAAGAAATGCAGTCCTGCCCCCACAGCCTTCACAGGACAGGGAGGCCACAGACGATAAACCAGGGGTGAGTAGCCAGCTTCCCAAGGGGAAAGCTATAGAGCTGGCTCTGAAGAGACCACGGCCACCTGTCCTGTCTCTTCGTAGCTCATCAGAGACTCCATATCTCTTAAAAGAAACTAGCAAAGGAGGTGGTCAGGGGGAGGATAGGAACTTGCTCTACTACTCTAAGCTAGGCCTGGTGGTCCCATCCAGTGGGCCCGCTTCTGCAAACCAGAGCATTGACAGAAGCGGCCCACTAGTGAAAAGCCTCCTCAGGCGGTCACTATCTATGGACAGCCAAGTTCCTGTCTACTCCCCATCTATAGATTTGAAGTCATCCCAGGGATCATCCACGGCAGCAAATGAGGCACCGGGCAGTGTGTTCTGTGCGATGTCTCAAAAGTCATCTTTAAAAGAATGCAGTGAAAAAAAAGCCCTGGATGACAGGCCTCAAGTGCTTCAGCCTCATCGTCTCAGGTCCTTTAGTGCTTCTCAGTCGACAGACAGGGAGGGGTCCTCCCCTGTGACTGAGGTGCGCATTAAGACCGAGCCCAGCAGCCCACTGTCGGACCCCTCAGACATCATCCGGGTCACTGTGGGAGATGCAGCAGCAGCAGCTACAAGAGACCTGCCCCTCAAAACAGAGGACGATCAGAGGGATATGAGCAGACTCCCAGCAAAGAGAAGGTTCCAGGCAGACAGAAGGTCACCCTTGAAGAAGGCAAGGGCAAATGAGCACGGGCCTGCTGTCTCAGAAGAGAACTGTGAAGAGGGCAGGAGCCCTCCTTCCCTTGACAGCAACTTCCCAGATTCTGACTTAAACAGAGAGGAGTTTGGTGAGTTGGAGGGGACGAGACCAAACAAAAAATTTAAATGCAAACATTGCCTTAAGATTTTTAGATCAACTGCGGGTCTTCACCGCCATGTTAACATGTACCATAACCCAGAGAAGCCTTATGCTTGTGACATCTGTCACAAGAGGTTTCATACCAACTTCAAAGTGTGGACACACTGTCAGACCCAACACGGCATAGTGAAGAACCCATCGCCAGCCACTAGTTCCCATGCAGTATTGGATGAGAAATTCCAAAGAAAGCTGATTGACATAGTGAGAGAGAGGGAGATTAAGAAGGCCCTGATCATTAAGCTGAGGCGCAGCAAGCCTGGCTTCCAGGGACAGAGTAGCTCCCCAGCACAGCAAGTCATCAAGAGGAACTTGCGCTCCCGAGCCAAAGGGGCCTACACTTGTGCCTACTGTGGCAAGGCATACCGCTTTCTCTCTCAGTTTAAGCAGCACATAAAGATGCACCCAGGAGAGAGGCCCCTCGGAGTGAGCAGAGCTTCTAAGCCAAAAGAGCAGGCTCTGGCACGCGCGGTAGAGAGCAAGGAGGTTTACCCGTGCCGCCTCTGTAATGCTAAGCTCTCTTCTCTTCTAGAGCAAGGCAACCACGAGCGCTTGTGCCGGAACGCCACCGTTTGCCCTTACTGCAGCCTCAGGTTCTTCTCCCCCGCACTGAAGCAGGAGCATGAGGACAGGTGTGAGTACAAAAAGCTGACCTGCCTGGAGTGCATGCGTACCTTCAAGTCCTCCTTCAGCATCTGGCGGCACCAGGTAGAAGTGCACAACCAGAACAACATGGCTTCAGCAGAGAACATCTCCCTGCCCACCCTGGACCACAATGGTGAAGTGGCAGCTGCTTCCAGGTTTCAGGCTGAGCCTAGCAAGGTAAACCATGTGGCTGCTCCAAAAGAGGACACAGCATTTAGTGATTCTTCAGAGCAAGTGAACTTTGATTCTGAGGATTCCTCCTGCCTCCCTGAAGACTTGAGTCTTTCAAAGCAACTGAAAGTTCAAGTCAAAGAGGAGCCTGTGGAGGAGGCTGAGGAGGAAGCTCCTGAGGCCAGTGCAGCTCCCAGGGAGGCTGGCCCCAGCAAGGAGGCAGGCCTATGGCCCTGTGAGAAATGTGGAAAGATGTTCACGGCACATAAGCAGCTGGAGCGACATCAGGAGCTGCTGTGTTCCGTGAAGCCCTTCATCTGCCACGTATGCCACAAAGCTTTCCGTACCAACTTTCGGCTCTGGAGTCACTTCCAGTCCCACATGTCTCAGGCCACAGAAGAGCCTGCACAAAAAGAGGCAGAGATGTGTCCTGTGCCCACAAACTCCCCCTCACCACCACCTCTGCCACCTCCACCACCCTTGCCCAAGATTCAGCCCCTGGAGCCTGACAGCCCCACAGGCCTGCCTGAGAACCCGACCCCAGCCACAGAGAAGCTGTTTGCACCCCAGGAGTCAGACACCCTCTTTTACCACGCTCCACCCCTTTCAGCAATCACATTTAAAAGACAGTTCATGTGCAAGCTCTGCCATAGGACATTCAAGACCGCCTTCAGTCTTTGGAGTCATGAGCAGTCACACAATTAAAGGATGTTCCCCTCTCACCTGTCACAGAACAACAGGCCCTTTGCTTGTGAACTGTGTCCTAAAACAAAATATTAAATAATAATAATAAAGGTTGGGAATTGTTATGTTTGAATTTTAAGTTTGGGATAAATTGAAACTGGCTGGGAATGTCCTCACAGCTTTAGGAACAAATTCTGAAATATTGTGGTTCTGGACCTCAGCAGCAGGGTTTGATTCTGTTACTGTTGAAGTTGGGTTAATATTGGTGAATTGCATGGTTCCTCATTCCGAGGTGTCACTATAATTACTTGATTGGGGTTTTTGTTTTTTGGTTTTTAGGTAGTGGAATGCTAGGGAAGTGTTTGATTATTATTACAGACACCTAAGTTTGAGGTAATCCTTAGCCATGTTTCTAAGGCCAAAAACCATACAAGGAAGAAGGGGTGTAATTTGCTGTATTGAGTCAGATTTTAGAATACTTCAGCAATAAGAAAAGACAAACCCCAACTTTAATAAATTATCCTGACACTTGATAAGACAAATATTTGGTATTTTGTGGTTCCATGAAACTTTCTTTTTGTATGAAAATTGTGAGCATTTAAATCAGCAATAGTCACACTTAGATTTTTTTATAAAATAACAAGCTGTCAGTTCCTTCATATAATCAGTGATGGCCACGTACTAAGGAAGGCAGAGTATTGGAAGCAAGTTTGTGGGGTGCCCTACAGTCAGCAACAACAGCTTGGTTGTGAAAGCTGCTGAACTCTGTGGGATGTTCTCTGCATCATAGCATGGCTTTCAACTGGCGCCTTAGAACTGACAGTGTTTGGTCTCTGCCAGCTTGAAACTTGGATATCATTGGGATAAGCAGTGCTAGCATGAGGTTAGCAGAGCACAGCCTTACCACATCCCAGACCATTCCTTCTAGAGGCTTCAGAGATTGGAGGAAATGCCACATTGCAGCTTCCACGTGCTTTTCCAAGAACTGTAGGCACAACATACACATTTTCTGCCTGTTTTTTGTGAGGACTTCTGTGGGAGTATTGTAGTGGATGGCAGTGAAAATGTCACTACCTGATACACAAATGTGTATTAAAGCACTAGCAAGGGTCCAAAATTAGTTTTTGCTACTTGATTTAGTACTTATGTTTTGGGCTCTTTTTTTTTTTTTTTTTTTTTTTTTTTTTTCATGTAGGTTGTAATTAAAACTCTTCATAGGCAGTATCCAGAGTTCAGTGGAATATTTCAAAAGGTGAAACTTTGATTTCATTCCCCAGGGAGGATCACACCTGGAAAAAATGTTAGAAGGACACAAACTCCCTGTTCATTTTTGCTTCAAGCTGTTTCTTCACATTTTCAAGGTGTGCTCTAGCAGAAGCACCGGCCCATCTCCTCACCAGCATTCTACACCCATGGTAGCAAAGGCAATCTTTATATTGAAACAAACTTTTTTTTTAATAAAATACTAATTGACTTTGTATATTATAGAAGATATATGTGGAATTTTTTCTTTTATTCTTGAAAAAACTCAAAAATTCCTAAATATGTATGCATTTCCTATTTTGTTCCTTAAATTTGGCAGAGAAGGGAAGTAAAATTATGTTGCATTTTTACTGATTCTTGCCATCTGTTTTCTTGAACTATGCATTTTAGAGATGAACTAAAAGTACCCACCATTTAATGAATGAAGCTAGTGCCAGGTGTCCACTGAACTCATTCTATGTGGTGAGTGAATGGTTTTTCCCTCTGAACACCTCAAAGTGTCACTTCTTTTACGACCGTCTCCCTGCATGGTCATCTGCTGTATAGCTAGAGTGATAATCTCCAAACCTGGCATTGCCAGTGCAGTGCCCCAGGACTTGAACCTATGCTACATTTTTAAAGATTTATAAAATAACACTGTTGCAAAAAAAAGTATTTTTGATCTAAATATAGACTCTGTGTATTTGTTAGGTTTTACAGATTACCAATGTTTGTCACCTTTTTTGTCTAGGAAGAAACATAAGACTTCAAATAAAATTTTGAACCAAAAACATTTATAATGCAGTTGTGATTTTTCTATTGCTTTTGATACTGTATCTTAAAAGACATCAGGCTGAAAGAATTTATTTTGGTGTCAAAAACTGTTCTTCCACTCATGTAACTATTTTAAATGCTAAGAAACAAAATTATGGAAGACATTACTCACTTTATTCAGTAAGCATTTTTTTAGAGAATGTTTATCTCAGCCACCAGGCAGATGTTTGGTGTTCAATAAATAGGTTCTTCACCATTGTAAATCTTTAGATAGTAAAGATATTCTTGTAAATGTTTTTCTGATTGTAATTAATTTTTGCAAGTATAGAAAATGCATTGTTTCTTCTAATTATTTAAGATGCCTGCTTTTTTATGCAGTTGTGGAAAGAATGTAAACTTTTAATATATTCTTTGTTAACCTGAGAATTTGTTATTGAATTGTTTTCTTTATGTGGAGAGGATTGAGTACCTAAAACATGTTTTTCCCACTCAGAGTAAGCAATGGAGCTAACAGATCCTTGCATCTCAGGGTTAGCATTTCCAGGTTGCTAGCTAATTATCCCTTTAAAACTAGTTCAGATACATCTGTGGTTCTGCCAGATGTACAGATGACCAGGGCTGTGTGTATTCTACTTTTCTGTTTTAGAATATGTCCTCTTTGAAAAGGTTGCCTGGTACTCAGTCACTTACCGCCTAAACCTGCATGTAGCCACTGCAAGTGCTAATGAAAATGGTGACTGAGATAGTAAGATGGGCCTTTTCTCTGGGACGAAGGCCTGAACACTGCCTTCCCTGGTGGGCAGGCCTGGTGGGCCTGAAGCTAGTCTCTGTTTTCTGTAGTTGAGCTCCCATGGGTGTGCACGTTTGTGAGGTTGGTACATTTCCTTATTTCAAAATGAGTAGCTTTCAATCCTTTAGATTTCTTTATAAATCTCACCAATTAGCCTTTATTACAACATTCAAAGTCAGTTTGTTAATTTCCGATATTTGATGCTGAGTGCATATTACTGAGTGCATACCCTTACTGAGTATTCGTTAAAACAAATTTTAGTCCAGATGTGGTGGCATGCACCTATTGTTACCATATTATCTGTTTGGAAAGCTAAGATGGAGGATCATTGAGCTTAGGAGTAGCATGGTGAGACTATCTTCAAAAAACAGGTAGAGCTATTCAAGTAGGTTTTCATTGCTTGTGGCTTTAGTGCTTTAAGACATTTGATATTTTTTATGATTTTTTTTTTTTTTTTTTTTAGCATCTTCTTCAGTGCCCCTCAGTGAGGACTCCAGCTGGGAAGAAGACCACTGGGAGCTTTTCTCCAGGGCAGAGAGCTAAATTGGGGTTCAGATTTTAGAGAAGAAAGGGAAGTTAGTGTTTTTTAGAGACAAGCTTTGGGGAATCAGAAACATTTTCCTGTAATTCTTTAAAATAGTTGGATTCTACATTCTTAGGTTGTTTGTGTACATTGTCTAAATCTCCACAGTTCTTGGTTAATATTGATTCCCAGAAGGTGGCCATAGCTGGCTTTAATCCAAACTGCCCTAGGAGCAGTTTTCATCAAATTCTGTTTAACTAAAAGCAAACGGGTTTTATAATTTTTGTTGTTACATGCCTTGGCTAAATAGAATCAGATTTTTTTTTTTTTCTTCAGAAATAACCTTTTGGGGACTGAAAATGCGTAGTCAGGTAGGGATGTAATGATGCTCCATTGCTTACTCTATCCAGTTCTGTAGTCTTTGTTTAATGGTGACCAAAATTGGATGGATGGGTCAATAAACCTGTACTGTGCTCTGCTCTGAGTTGTGATGGTACTGGCATCTGTGCTTTGAAAATTACATGTAGTACTGGTGACAATAAAGGGGGACCCTTTCTGTCAGGATGATTGGTGCTGGTGAGTTTGGGGACACGTGATTTTCTCACCCATACTCTTATTCCTGTTGCCTGTAGAATTAAGTTGTTAGTTGGATATATCCCTCAGTTATGTGAGGTTCCACAGGTATGTAAACAGATGCATGGGCATCTGTGCCTGTCTGCTTTGTTATTCCTGCTCAGATTCAAACCTCTTCCTTTATTTTCACAAGGGTTATTGTGTATTAGGGAGAAGGTGTAAATCTGTGACAGTGCCCAGCACCTGCCTTCAAATTTCAGCAACACCATTGATAAGCTAGTCTCGTTTCCTGTTTGTAACATTTTTCACTGTAATGAGGCTCCTCCATCACAGGAATATAGTCCCTCTTTATTTTTGCAAATACTTGGCTGTGAGTATACCACTAAGGTAAGAGAAGGACACATAGAGAATAGATAAACTCCTACACTGGTAAGGAGCTGCTTACACCCCTTCCAACCAGAAGAAATGGCCAGATTTAGAATGGCAAACCCTCATACTCAAGTACAACTAGTTGCTGCCAACACAGTTACAAGTATTTGACATAGTAGGTGCAAGTCATTGGCACTTTTTAGCACTGATTTCAAATGAAATCATTGCTATCCCTAAGAAGAGACATAACAGCTGACACCAACTACTTATAAGACACCAGACCTGGGCATGCTCTAACTTTATTCTCATTTCCAATCTTAGGCAATCCAGTCATAGCTGGTCTTCTTCCATATGGATGTTCCTTAACCTACAATTCTCATACACTTGGTCATTTGGACATTTGTGAGCTCCTACTTTGGTAGTCCTTTGATTGAACCTGCCCTTGCCATGCATGGCCAGGATATCTCAGAAACTGTGTTCTCTTCATATTCCACTATGAGGACACAAACATAAACTACTGTGATGCAGTTGCCCTGCTTCACTTGTGTTTCCTTCAATCTTGTGCCTGAGGCAGACCCTGCCCAGCTTCTCTGTACTTTCCCTCTTTGTAGCCAGAACATAATTTATGGGAGGTGTTTTGAGACTCTAAAATCCCATTCCTTTTCTTGACCTTAACCTGTAGTTTTGGCTAATAACCAATTGGCTAGGTTACTTTTATTTTGTAGTTACTGCCAAATGGGAATTGCCTCATCTCACCCTTGCTTCATCTATTTATGGATTTTTGTTCTTGCAAAACAAAACAAGAACAAAACCACATAGCCCCATCCTCTTGTTCTGACTT